CAATCGATCCATTTTTCCATGTTTTACCGTTATTTTTGTTTAATTTTTGTTTTTCTAATGATGTACGTCGAACACAATTTAAAATAGTAATCATTGTTGATAATAATGTTATAATGATAAAAAAACATATTAAAATAAGTATCCAGGAATTTGATGATGATAATGTTAATTCATTAGACATTGATGATTTAATGGCATCTTTGATCTCTTGTTTATCAAATTTAAAATGAATAATGAATGTATAATTTGTTGTTAATACAGGTAGTCCATAATCAATTAGTATAACGGTTAAATTGTATGTTGAAGAAATATTTTTTTGAGATAAATTTATAAATATTTTTCCATTAAATCTTTTTATTTTAAATAAATATGTTGGTTCATGTAGATAATATTTAATTGTGGGTATAGTCATAGTTTGATTTTCATTCTCATAATTATCTGGATCATATCCTTTCATTTGAAATAGAAACATCTGATTATCATTACCAATTAAATTTGATGGAATATGAAATATTAATTCATTTTCATTATTTGGATATAACAATTTTGGTGCATATTGATTGATATATTCAATTATCAATCGTATGGATACGATATTATTTAACGATGGCATTTTTGAATCTTCACCTTTAATTTGAAATTCATATAAATATTTTGATGAAATATTTGATTTTAAATATATTGAACCATTTTGTGGATGAATAAATACTAAATTGGATAATGATGAATAAGTACATGTAGTGATTGTATCATTTGATGAACGAATATTACCAATAAATGTACCATATGTAATTTCACTGGATAATAAATGAAATATGTAATACGGTTGAGTAAAACATACGACTGGCTCATTATAATAATCCATGATAAATATACGAACTTTTCTTCGACAAGTATCGAATTTTATTGTTGACTAAAATTAATAATATTATCATGAGTTAGACATATACGTTTTTGTTTTTTAATTAAATTTCTTATTGTAATTTTACTTACCATAATTTGATCAGTTGAATTATATGTTTCTATTATTGTTAAATCATATATTTTTTTTACTTCTTCATCCAAATGTTTAACAAGAATTAAACTATTTGTGTTGTCAATTTCAAATGTTTTGTCTTTATCAATTAAATTATATTTTACATTTGTCAATAATTTTGTTCTATTTTGATAACATTGATATGAATTTTGAGACAATATTGTTTTATTTAATTCAAAATTTTCATCTAGTTGTAGATAAATCGTATCAGATTTTGTTAATAAATAATTTTTATCAAAACATAATATTAATGGAAGAATTTTTGTTGAATGAATTGCGGGTGTTGAATTTTTCCATGTATCAATATGTATTAATATTGAAACATAGTCATAGTCAAATAATGATGAATTATTTAAATGAGTAAGTAGTTGAACAATAGTTGTAGAATTAACATTTAATTTTAAACTATTTTCATCTATTATTAATAAATTTGTTTCTCTAATAGAATAATTACAGTTTAAACATTGTTCATGATGTTGTTCATCATAAATTTCAATTTGTGCAAGTGGTAAATTTAGATCACGAAGTTGAATATAACTACCTGAAAATTAAAAAAATTAAATTTTAGATATAATGTATTTTGTTAAACATCCAAATTCGATTGGAGACAAGAGGGTATGGGTATTATATATATATAAATACGTATGTATATTCATATAAAATATGTATTCGAGTATACTCGAGTACATCCATAGTTTGGAATAATCGTAGATTTTTCTCAAGTGTTTACATTTAAAAACATGTTTATAGTGAGGTTTTGTTTGTTCTTTGAACTGGAAAATCAAACTATTTTTCAAATATTAAAGTTCAAATTTATCGATTTTTATAAAGACCTGTTTAAGAATGATGTTGTGCGAAGAATAAACTTAAAAAAGTGTATATAGTTTATTCTCTCTTTTCGTACTGCTGCGAAATCAAGGGAGGAAAAGCAGATCCGTGTCTCCGCATGGATTCGGGAAGATCCCCGTGGATCTCTAAATATCTGACAGTTGTCCTAAGAGTGCAAAAGCCTTCTATAAACCTTTTATACGTTTTAAACAGATAAGTAGGGCGAAACGAATATTTCACGTCGCGAAAAACACATTGTGATGTGTTTTTCGTACTTTTCTCGGAATGAAACAATTTTGAAGGAAAGTCAATGGATATTACTACTGGAGAGTGATGTTTTCGGCATTGACGGATAGACTCAACCCATATAAAACTTACCACCATTTACATCGGTCTTTGATGTCAGTGACGAAACCTACCTCATGTTATAGAGCTCAGTAAGCTGATCCGAATGGTGAAAACCGCAAGTCTGTAGCCTAGTTAAACAAAACGTTATAGTCATTTCATCCCCGCAGTGGTCCACCTTCCCTAACGTAGAACCTTGAAGTTGGTATCAAATGAAAGAGCGCATCGAGTTCTATATATTTCGATGAAGAAAACTTATGCTACATCTCGGAGCCTTGAGATGGGGCTAATGATATGGTTGAAAAACATCTGAAAGAAATTTTATGGGCATTAGGTGTTCTAGAAAACGGTTTTTTTCGGAAATCACCATCTCTAGACCCCA